ATTCCACTTAATCCTCCTAAAGATAATACACTGGAAACATTTTGGTGGGTGTGAATCACTCAAATAAGCATTCTTCACTCAAAAATAGAAACTTGACTTATTTGTTCCAGATGTTATACAGCTGCAGGGAAGTTAAAGCCAGTGGTCCTGTTTTGAATGCAACCAAACTCTTATTGCATTTGGAACTTCTTAACTAATGAACACATATTACTTGTTCTAAGACCTGCACAATTTTCTTTTTTTCCACTGTTACCATTCACAAACAACTATGATTCCTGGAAACTATACTTCAGAATTAATGAGTCTAAGTTTGTGTTGTATAAAGGAAACACATCCTGTTTATTAATGTTTCCACCTTTCATTTATCTTGACCCCTTTAATTTTTTCTGAATATTAGCAATAACCAATTAGAAACTGATATTGCTTGGATTTTTAAAAATTGAATTAATTGGGGGATATTGGTTAATAAAATCATATAGGTTTCAGGTATACAGTTCTATAATGCATCATCTCTATATCGTACTGTGTGTTCATCGTGGTGTGTTCACCAGGTGAAGACTCCCATCACCATTTATCCGTCTTTTACCCTCTTCTACTTTCCCCACCCCCACATTCCTCTGGATATTGTTGTTTGTGTCTATGAATTTTTTTTCCTTTTTTGCTTAATCCCTTCATCATTTCCACTCAGCCTCCCCAAGCCCCTACCCACTGACAGCCATCAGTCTGTTTTATGTATCTCTGAGTCTGTTTCTATTTTGTTTGTTAGTTTATTTTGTTCATTAGATTTCACATATAAATGAAATCATATGGTACTTGACCTCTTTAATTTTAAGCATAAAATATTTCAAAGAGAGTACTTGAAGGAAAGAAAAAGGAGAGTTGAATTATATTGTTCTCATAGTATTTCAGAGCACCTTAACTATAGAGTTAAAAGGTATTTATTTCAGGAAGAATTTCAAGCAAAATTATTGAGAAAATATTAAATATAAATGTAATTCCTATCATTGTATACTAGTAGTTTCAAAAACTTGACAATTTAGGTAATTTCTTGATTCTCTTGTAGGTCTATATGAGATGCTATGTGGATGCATAAGATATAAAGGGACTGTGGCCCTTTAAAGAAGCCGAATAAGTTAAAAATTACACAGAAAATACACAGAATTTTATATATAACCATAAAACAATACTATATGTGTTATATTTTGTTTGAGAACAAATGTTTGAGAACACTTATGTTTGAAAACAGAGTGCCAGATCTCATATGATTTAGTCTTTTTATGGAGATGATTTTTTCAAATTGTGGTTCAAGTACAACCTGTAGCAGAATCACACTGGCTGCTCATGGGCCCAGTTGAGTCAGAATCACTGTGAATTGAGCCCAGGCTGCAGAAAGACCCTGGAGACCAGGACAGAAGAACACCACCACTCGCACCTTCCAGATGTGAACATAAAAGCCCAGGGAAGTTAACTTATCAAGTCCATGCAGCCATTTAATAGTAAAGTAAGACCTGGACTTTGGTTATTGATGCTGAGACCAACATACTTTTCCAGCAAGTCGGCTATTAATTTTTATCTTCAAAAGATAAAATTTAAACAAAATTTAAAGAAATATGTTTCCAAATATTACCAGGTGTCCCACTAATAATTCCTTATTCTTATTACTAATAAACTAAATTCTTGTTCTTTTTCTAGGATTTAGAAATACCCTTCCTTCAGACTCATGGATCTTTGAATTATAAAAATCTTCCAGAAATAAAGAGGAACATGTTACATTTTATGTATTCTTGATTTAATCTTTGAAATTTTGTGGTTGATTATTTTGGAAATGAGTATTTAAAGTTATGTGAACCATGTTCAAGTGACAGTTTGCATTCAATAATGATTCCACAAAGACCATAAAAACTATAATTCATGACATATTTTCTTGAAGTATGTAGGAGGTCTATCCAGAAGGTACCTAGCAATGTAATATGAAAATTAGAGACATTTATTGAAGAAGATATAAGATTCAAGAAACACTGTATGTAGGACAATAATACTTCAGTCCCCTTCAAAGTAGGCACCTTGGGATTTCACACAGTTCTCCCAATTGCCATCAGCTACCGTGTGGTATTTTCCTGAATCTCATTGATGGTCTGAAATCTCTTCCCTTTCAAAGGTTATTTTAGTTTGGGGAAAAGCCAGAAGTCACAGGGCACCAAATCTGGGTGCAAGGGGTGCTGAGTCACCTGGGCGATTTGATATTTTGCCAAATAACTCTACATGAGAGGTGATGTGCGAGCAGGTACAATGTCGTGATGAAGCTGCCAATCACCAGTTGTTCATGGCTGCAGCATTCTGAATCATCTGAAGAGTTCCCATGAGGGAATGTTCAAGCTTAACATAAAATATGATGCAGAATCATTGCTCGACTCGCTCAGTCTTTAAATTTCTTTCTTGACTTTGAATTTTAGATTGATGCTGTCATGTGAATAACTTATATTTTAAAAGTTTCAAAGAAAAAAGGCCTAACCAACTCAATCACATAGGACTTCAAATAATGTTTTAAAATTCACCCCAAGTATATGTCATGATTAAAATAATGATGCAATTGCAGTCTTTGAAATATGTAAGATAAAAATACTTGTCTTTGAATAAATTCAAAATATCATGGGACATACCTTTAAAGTATTTAAATAAAATGTATTTTCTAAGTTAACACTTAAAAATTTACTTTGAATGTGATGGCCACACAGTACACATGCTCACTCAATAGCATCTAGTGCCCCCACTGACTAGTACAGCGAAGTCATCACTGTTCACACATGCACATTCCAGTCCACTCTCCTTGGCTGCCAGGTTACACTGATGTCACACAAACTGTTCTCGCTATATTAACAATGACTGGACTTTTTCCAAACAGACCTTGTATATGCTGTTAGTTAAAATTAAGCCCTAAAATATTTTGTGTGATATTCAAAATGGATTCAAAAATTTGTTTCATATATCTTAATGAAGTTATTAATAATTTTATTTCTTTTCTTGTGTATATAGCTTAGCATTCTAAAAGAAAACACTCTATAAATGCTATTTATTAAGTTTTCTGTGCTTTGCCTCAACTGATCACATTTTGACACTCACTTATGGCGGTCTTTTAAAGAAGCACCACTAGAGAGAAGGTGTGCTGATAAACTTCTCTGGTGTTCATAGATTTTTAATAAACATGGCAAAGCTTTTCAGGTCCTTCATTTCGTTAATGAGAAACGTGAGACCAAAAAACCAAAACCAAAACCAACCCACCAAGCAAACAAAAAACCCCAGGAGTAATGTTCCTTTGAAGGAAATAGAATCATGTCAGAAACTGCTAGCCAAACCTCTTTACTTCCTTTCCCAGAACACCTCTTTTCAGCTGAACATATGGCCATCTTTATAAAGATTACATTGTCCAGTCTTCCATGGAGCTGGAATGGCCATCTGACTAAGCTTCTGCTGTGGATGGAATACATGTGAACGTCGGGGTGGCAGGTTTTGGGAAGCTCCTTAGGGAGTGAGAGCTTGTCCTTTGCACTCTCTGAGTTCCACCCCTGATTCTGTTTGGAATGTGGTTGTTTTGGCTGGAGATCTATTTTGCCCAGTGAGGACCACCCTCATCTAGATAACTGTGGATCTGCCATTTCACCTTTGGACTGGCAATGTATACACTCATGCATGGGAAAGAAAAAAGCTTCTCCTGATTAAGTCACTGCCTTGGATTCTGACATGTGTTGCTATATCTGATTACAGACAATAAATAATTTCTTGCTACAGAAAGTTCATTCATTCACTCTTTATGCACAGTAATTGATCACTTTTTATGATCAAGGAACTATACTATAGATATAAAACAAAAATGATTTTATTTTTTATTTTAAATTTCTAAAATGTTTTAGAAAAGTTTTAGGACAAGATTCCCATTTTCATTGATCTATCTTTGCCCCTATGCCAGACATATCATATAATTATTATTTCTTTCACTATAAAGAAATGTTTTTCTTGACTTTGAATTTTAGATTGATGCCTTCATGTGAATAACATATATTTCAAAAGTTTCAAAGAAAAAAGGCCTAACCAACTCAATCACATAGGACTTCAAATAATGTTTTAAAATTCACCCCAAGTATATGTCATGATTAAAATAATGATGCAATTGCAGCCTTTGAAATATGTAAGATAAAAATACTTGTCTTTGAATAAATTCAAAATATCACGGGACATACTTTGAAAATATTTAAATAAAATGTATTTTCTAAGTTAACACTTAAACATTTACTAAGGGTCATACCTTTTTTTCAGTGATACCTACATGTTAGAGAGCATGCTGGCAGCTGTATGTGTGTGTGGGGTGGTGCTGGTTAGGGTGAAGGGGTTGAGCAAAAAAGGGGAAAAAAAGAGAAAGAACTCATGGACATGGACAACAGTCATGAACGCCAGGCCAGGTGGGCAGGGAGAAGTGGAGGAGGGTGTAGGCATAATAAAAATATATTATTTACTATTGTTTCATAAATAAGATTTTAAAATACCAAAATATTAAAGAATAAAAGAAAACTATTCTATTAAAATTTAAAAATAAACAAATCAAAAGGGATATTAGAATTCTGGGTGCATATGTGAGGCAAGAGCCTCACTTCCCTAAATGGCTCATCACCACATTTAAAGCAAAAATTAATGACTTCTGCAGGATCTGAGCAAACAAGGCGAGTGCCCACTGGTGCCCTGGTCTCATTCTGCTGCTGGGCATGGAGAAGTTCTCTCATTTGTGTTTTATTTAATTCCTCCAAACCCTTCCTTATTGATTTCTGATAATTTATTGAGCTTTGGAGGTTTTTTTTGTGTGTGTTTTTAAACAATAGTACATGCTCTAAATTTCAACACAGCTTTTCTTTTCCAGGTTTAAAAACTTAAGGTGGTCAAATATTTAATACAATTTTGAATAATGGTAGAAATACAAAAGCATTTGGAGGTAAGTATAAAAGCACACTTACTTTTGGGTCCACCTTGAGAATTTTGCTGTCTCTTTTGTATTTGAAAACCAATCCATCTGGATTATCAGCAATCACTTGATAATTGGGAGTTGAATTACAAATAGCAGTATTACTGTTCCAGTTGTAAAAGCTATAAAAATAAATATTTATTAGGAATTCATATGTATAATACGTTAAATTGACAAATAAATTTGTCAATATTCAGAAAAGTTCAGTTTCAAGATAAGTGGGTCAGACCATAATCTGCATAACCATGAAGAGCACATGTGCTGAAAACTCTTGCGGAGGAGTTTAGACTGAATTATTCTCAAACCATTTACATATTTCTCAAATCAGATACATATTTATGGATATTTTGCATGATTTCCTGGTTTGGACACTCTAGGATCTAAGGTCTATTCCAATATTATATTCCCAGGAAATCAAGAAGAAAATTGATGCAATTTAAAACTATTTTTCCAACTCAGACTCTTCAGGGTATTAAGAATATTCAGGGTATTAATGTGTACCGGAAGGAAAGGCAGGCTAAGTCACCTCTTTTCATTAAAAAAAAAGAATTTCTTTCAGGCTCTATTTTTCAATATATACTTCTCAGAGAGTGAGGAAACAATTTGCATCTTTTTATAAGTTCTTTATGAATTTTGGATATTAGCCTGTTATTAGATATATTGGTTGCCACAGGCCAGGCATGATGTGATGTATTCTATCATAACCCATGTGAAGTTGTTCTCATTTCACAGACAAGGCGAGTAGACCAGGTCAATGAGCATTAGTTTAAGGTCCTTACATTAATATGCCATAAACTAATATTTCAACCCAGATCTCTGTGTTTCAAGGTACATATGTGCTCTTTCTCTTATTCAACATCACCTGCAGTTTATCCCTTTTTTTGCTGTTCTTGATGTATGGAAATTCCCTAATTTTTTTTATGTCCTGTTTTATACCTACTGGTCAAAAATGAACATAGTATTGTCATACAAGTTGGAGAAGTCCTCAACATACTTATTTTATGTGTCTTACTCCTGTTAACACATTTCTAATGTTATGCTAATATGTTCAAATATTAACATGTTTCTAGTATGTCTAATATTATCCTATTCTGGATTGTTTTGCCTTCCATTACTCTTTCTCCATTTTGAAAGAGCTTATTTCATTGATTACATTCACTCTAAATTATATTGTTTTCTGAGGCATCAACTTTTGTGCTATTACCTAAAAATGTAATGTTTACCCTCAAATTTTTAATAATCACAAAGGACTAATATATAGATCATATATTTATATCTTTTGAAGGCATATTAGTGAGAATTGTGTCTCTGTCATCCTCCTCTTTGTGCAAAACATAAGCATGTCTGCCCTCTCTGAGGCACAGAGTTAGAAAAATTGGTCTTTCGACCATATTTGTCTGTTTAGTTAGTTAGTCTTTTCTGAGGGAGCAGGAATGACTATTTGATTGGTGAACTGAGGAAAGGAGCTGATTACTCATGGTTTGGGGGATCTGCACTTTAGTTCGCCTTTGTATGTGAGATTCATCGTGGCAGGCTCAAACCCCAGTAGGATGATGGTGATAAATTCAATTCACTGATAAAGGTATTAGGAGCCAGTTTGACCACGCACCCAAGCTAGGGTCTCATTCAGTTTAATCTGTAACAAAGAAAATCATTTGACCTCCCTCTATCTTGCTGGTTATTCAGTTGGGAGTTTGCTAAATTGGAATAGGAAACATGGGTGTGATTCTAAACCTTACATGTAAGTCTCTTAAATAATTATTTATAAGATGTATAGATATAAGTAATCCCAGGAAAATGCTTGAGTCACAGTTATGCTTGGAAGTGGCATGGTTTATATCACACATTCCTATCTTGTTGCTCAGATCTCAAATTAAACTCCTGTTAAAGTCCAAGTAGCTTGAGTGTGTTTATATGTATGTATAGTCATATTAAAAAGTTAATTTGTGTTTTTAATGGTTGAATAGTACTCCATTGTGTAAATGTCCCATAGTTGCTTTATACATTCATATATTGATGGACACTTGGGCTGCTTCCATATATTGGCTATTGTAAATAACGCTGCAATGAATATAGGGGTGCTTATGTTCTTTTGAATTAGTGTTTTGGGTTTCTTTGGATAAATTCCTAGAAGTGGGATCCCTGGGTCATAAGGAAGTTCCATTTTTAATTTTTTGAGGTGTCTCCAAACTGCTTTCCACAGGGCCTGCAGCAGTCTGCATTCCTGCCAACAGTGCAAGAGTCCCACTTTCTCCACATCATTGACAGAACTTGATTTATTGATGATAGCCATTCTGACCAGTGTGAGGTGATATCTCATTATCTCACATTAACTTTGTATTTCAATTTTTAATTGAAAATTTTTTTGGTGTTGAGTTTTATAAGTTCTTTATAAATTTTGGATATTAACGCCTTATCAGATATATTGGTGAATATGTCATCCCATCTTATGGGTTGTCTTTGTATTTTGTTGATGGGAAGAGATATATCAGAAAAAATATTGCTATAAGCAATTTCCAAATTTTACTGCCTATATTTTCTTTTAGAATTTTATGGTTTGGGATCTAACATTTAAGTCTTTGATCCATTTCGAATTTATTCTTGTGTGTGGCACAAGAAGGTGGTGTACTTTCATTTTTCTGTCTGTCCAATTTTCCCAGCACCATTTATTGAATAGACTATCTTCAGCCCATTGTATATGCTAGTTTCCTCTTTCACATGTTAATTTACCATAAGGCGTGTGTTTATTTCTGGGCTCTCTCTTCTGCTCCATTGATCTATGTGTCTGTTTTTTATGCTAGTACCATGTGAAACCTAATGACTAAACTGAACTTACAAGCAAAATATAGACAGTCTCATAGAAAGCAGGATGACAGTTCTGGGTTGGGGGCAGGGGTTAGAGGGTAGAGAGGTAGACCAAAAAGAGAAAAGGACTCATGGACAGGGGCAACAGTGTAGTGATTGCATGGGTGAGGGGGTAAGGAAGATAAATAGTAATGGAAAAATGCAATTAAAAAACCATAAAAAAGTTAATCTGCAGAGCATATGGCACTTTTGATGAAGCAATTTGGATTGTTACTCTTGTTCTGGTAGAATGGGAAACAGATTTCATTTTAAAAGCCAATTCAAATAGCTAATAATTCTTAGCAGTTAACAAGGATAACTAACATTTACTTAATTACCATGTACTGGGTACTGTTCAGAACCTAATGAATGTATTATCTCCTTTAATCTTATCATCAGCCCTATCAAGTAAGTATACAAGTACTTACATGCATAATCCACAGGATCCTGAAATGTATTTGTGGATGAAAATGGGAGACAACATTTGAGAAGATACTAAAAAGTGAACTTAATGGTTGAGAGAGATATCAATGAGAAGAATGTAGGATTTCTCTTGGATTTCTGGTTTGGATTCCTTAGTGTTTGCATTTATTTAGTAGCAGGATATGAAATAAAGGAAAAGGAATAGATTGCAGGAGTTAAGAGGGCTGAGGTTCAATTTTCCACATGCTGAAGTTGAAATTCCTGTGAAACATCCAAGACAATGAAAGCAAGAATCTTGGTGTTTACTGTTCTACTGCCAATACCTTCCCTGAACCCAGGCCTGACACATAGTAGGTAATGAATGCATATTTATTGAATAAATAGATAATAGATGAGTTTCTGAACTTTAGAGAGTTTTTATAAGATAAAGTAATAGATTCTGAAGTATCAGTGGTGCTTAAATTCAAAGAGGTGGCTGCAATGGATGATTGCTTTAGCAATTCTTGTAAGGCAGGTCTGTAATGATCAATTCTCTCAGTTTCTCTGTTTCAGGAAAGTCTTTATTGCTCTTTCATTTTTGAGGGACAGTTTTTCTGGCTATAGTATTCTTGGTTGGTATCTCTTTTGTTTCAGCACTATGAATACATCATTCCACTCTATTTTTCCTGCAATGTTTCTTCTAAAAATCTGCATATTGTCTTAAGAGCATGTCCTGTGGATGTGATAGGTCACTTTTCTCCTTCTGCCAAAATTTTTTCTTTGTCCTTGACTTTTGTAAATTTGATTATAATGTGTCTTGATGTGGATTTCTTTGGATATATTTAATTGGCATCCCTTAAATTTCTTGGATCTGAATGTCCATTTCCTTTCAGATTTGGGAAGTTTTCAGCCATTATTTCTTTGACTACATTTTCTGTTTGTCTTTTTTTTTTTAATCTTTTCTTTTGGGAATCCCATGGTGTGTATATTGGTCACTTGATGGTGTCTCATGGGTCCCTTAAATTTTCTTCACTCTTTTTCATTCTGTTTTCCTTATGCTCCTCTGACTTATTTCTAATTACCTATTTCTGAGTTCACTGATCATTTCTTCAGCTTGATATAGTCTAACATTGAAATCCTCTAGTAATTTTTTAGTTCAGTTATGATTGTCCAAGGTTTTGCCATAGATTTTCCAAAAATATGATAAAGATGTTTAAACAATGCTAAAACATGTTCTCATCATTAATCCTTTTTATTTTATTTTATTGCTGTGGGAAAATTATATTACATGGAGTGGCAATTGTGGTACAGAGACATGAAATTTAATCTAGAATAATACATATTCCTGTTTTTTTCTATGTTTCAAATAATACAAAGCAATAAATTATTGCTCCATGATTTCTGTTTTGTACTTTTAAATATTTTCTATCTTTTTGCTGAATTTCTCACTTTGTGTATGCATTGCTTTCTTGACCTCAGTGAGCATCTCTATGACAGTTTATGTAATTCTTGTTCAGATAAATCATATTACTCCATTTGGGGGGTAGTTTCTGGCGATTTATCTTATTCCTTTATTGAGGGAATACTTTTGCCCAATTCTTGATTTTCCTTGACTCTCAGAGTTGAGGCCTACATATTTGACAAAGCAGACTACTCTTCTGATCTTCATAGACTGGCCCATGCAGAAGAAAACTGCTACCAATTACCTGGCTAGAGATTCTGGGGGCCTCTTACAACTTTTCCCTCCCCAGTAGAAGCAGGCAGCTGTGGGTTTTGTCTGCTTGCTCTTCAGTGAACAGAAGGTAGAATCTATGGTGTCTACCTGCCAATGCCACTGTCTCCATTTTCTCTTAGGTGGATAGACTGTGCAAGAACC